GCCCTGGATTCCCTGTGTTTCCAGTTCCTATCTGTACCAGTGTACATCCTCTGGTCTAGCCAGACTTGCAAGGCAGAATTCGGATCATGATATTGGGTGGTGGGGCGGGGGCAGGGAGGAAGCATTTAGGAACTAGAGGAAAGTGGTATGTTTCATCATTGCTACATCGCACCCTGACTGGCTCGTCTCCTCCCCAAGACCCTTCTGCAAGGGGATCTCCAGTGGCCTACAAATGGGCTTTGGGTCTCCACTCCGCACTACCCACCTCATTCACTATGATAAGATTTTTTGTTCTGATGATGCGTGATACCTGATCCCTTCGACACCTCGTGATGTGCTTCTTCCATGAGGGCTTTGTTGCTTCTGAGCTAGATGGCCACTTGCTTAAGACCCCAGACGCTATATCTTTTGATAGCCACGCACCATCAGCTTTCTTCGCTTTCAGTGTCTTCTGACTAGACTCTTGCAGTCATGTTCAAATTGTTTCTGATTTGTCCCCTCAATTTTGTTCTCCACAAAAGCGCCAGCAAGATCTCTCTACTTCTTACCACTCTCATCACAAACCCTTCATTGTGAAGGGCTTGCTGAGCTCCCTGAAATAAAAACTCATTCCCAAGAAGGAATGAGACCTATCTAATTAAAAGTCTGATCTGCCATCGGTAGCCTTCAGAACATAACAGGTGTGATCTATGCATTCTTTGTAATGACTGTGGATGGATTAGGCTCAAACTTAAGTCATCTTGTATGTAACCCCCACACATACTAGGAGACAGGACCCACTCCTTTGTTTGCTCCCGTCTCATATTACTGAAGATTCAGGGAAAGAAAATGAGACTGGCCTTAGAGAGACTTGAGTGAAAGGAGACAGCAGTGTGAGTAACATATTCTTATAGGTCAGGAATCCTGTGTGGTCCTTCTATGCAAACCTGGCATTATTTTCTCTATTTTCAAAATAAAATACAACCCAACGTGAACAGGAAGCATAAAGTTTTGGGTGTCTTTTTCTCCTTCATAAGTGTTTGTGGGGGCAGCCAGCCCCTCACAACTAATCATGGGTTCAATAGGCACAATTGTACAGTTAAGAAATATAAAGATCATTGTAAAGTCATAGAGAATAGGGAGGGATTGGAAAGAGAGAGTAAAATAAAGAAGTCAGACACATTTCATAGTAGCATGCTCACCTCAGCTCCCCTCAGTGGTCCACATGGAGGTGGGGGACGAGAAGGCAGGAGAGAGCTCCTCTCCATAGGTTTTATTTCTCACCAAACCTTATACAGTATATCTTTAAATCGTTTTATTAGGGGCTCATACAACTCTTTTCACAATCCATACATACATCAATTGTGCAAAGCACATTTGTACATTCATTGCCCTCATCATTCTCAAAACATTTCCTCTCCACTTAAGCTCC